AAGCAATTATGGAAGAGATTGGTAATAGGCCATTTTACATTTCTCATTGACGAATCACGTGATATATCGGTAAAAAAACAAATGGCTGTTATTTTAAGGTTAGTAACTAGTATATTGTGTCGGTTCTATTAAGTTGTCTAATTCACGTACAATATTCAGTTTTATTAGTGTTTTTAAATGGTGTACTACTGCAGGTATGTGAATTCTAAAGGGATTGTTGTTGAAAGATTTCTTGCTCTTGTACATGTCAAAGAGACTACAGTACCGATGCATTGAAGGAAGCTGTCGGTGTTTGAACCGGGGTCCTTAACCGATTAGTGAATTTGTCTTTGCGTGCTCCAGATTCCGGATGGTGATGCAAAGAGACACAAGGTTTATCTTTGGTTCGGGCAATGGATGCCCCACGTCCGGTCTGAGAAGATGTTCTTGTATTCCTTGCACCGGGTGCTTTCGTAGTAGGGGTTTACAAGCTAGGCGAGAGGGAGTTCGTCCCAAGTCTCTGTGAGGGGAGGTGATATGAATCACGAGAATGCGGCGTGTTGTTCGTGCGCAGTGTTCGTGACTCTATCCGCCGTCCCTAGAAACGCAGTCCCGGCCGCCTCCTTTTATAGCCGCAGGGAGGAAACCAGAGTACATAAGAGAGCTACACGTGGAGCGGACTATTCGATGACGTATTTACTCCTGGAGCAAAGATGGCGTTGCCGTGGGAGTTCCGTAGATGTCTAATCGGTATGGTCTCCACCGCAAGTAATATCTTGTACATTTGTTGACTTGGTGGATTCTGCGAGGCTCGGCGCCATCGTGGCCGGTCGTCTTAGGGGCTGCCGTCTGCCGAGGCCTCGAGAAGTGACCAGTGCGGTCTGCGGGTCTCAGTGGCCGTCGGCGGAATAGTGCGAGACGTCGCGCCTACGAGGATCTGGTACTGTATTGTCGATGAGGGATGGTAAAAAAGGTGATCGACCATTGTCCTGTCGCTCTGTTGCGGCCAAGACCGCCGATCGTGGCTTGTGTAGCGAAGTCTTCTTGGCGCGTGTCGGATGTGACAACCGCCGGAGAGACTTTTTGAGGCGGAGGCGATGAGGTTGTGGGGATGAGCCCGGCCTCGGGGCGGCGCGAAGCCTTGACCAATTCGTCCGAGGCCCTTCCGAGGGGTCTCGGCGAGGCGGACGGGCGGGCGGAGTAAGATCAGGTGAATCGAGGCCTGTCGAGAGGGCTCGGGTGAGCCGAGCGGTCGGTCCGGCGATTCCAGGCTACAGGAACCCGTTCGACTCCCCCACGCTATGCGATGTCCTTGGTGCGGGAGTTAGGCGGCCACGGTGGTCGGTAACCCTCGCTCATGCCATCTTAGATGGCGGGAGGTTAACGCGACCTGGCGTGTAGTCGGTCACTTCAATCTTGTGCCATCGTGCGTCTGTCCGGAGTGGTTGGGCGCTTGGATGCGACGTTCGGTCGAGCGGTTTTGGTCGACGAAGGCGGTCCGCGGTCGGTGCCGAGCCGCCTCGCGAATCGGAGAATCAACACTTCTTCCGAGGCCCGGGCGAGGGGCCTCGGCAGGCGGTCTCTCGGCGAAGTCGGAGAATCGTTAAGCTTCATTGGGGCTTCGGCGATGGGGTCTCGGGCGAATCGGAGATTTGGTGAGACCTCGCTTGTTTATTCCGTTGGCTCTGTTCTTAGGGTCTCGGCGGTTTTTCGATCTTTGCTTGGGGTACCCTATTTTACAGTATCCGAGCGGTAGCCCCAGCCTCGGTAGGGAGTGTGGGATACTCTCCTCGAGGTTTTTCAAGACTTTTGTTTCTCGGTGGCTCTTGTCGGGTTTGTTTTATACTCATGATTCGGTGGAGTGCGCGCGAGGCCTCTCGCCCTGTGTGTAGCCCCCAAGGCCTTAGAGGAGTGAGTTTACTCCTTTAGGGGCTTTTTCTTCGTTGAGTAAGGCGCTCTATCGCATTCGCTAGACCCATGAGAGCGAGCCTCGGGTCGCTTCTTTTCGCTTGGGGTACAGGGAGGAGCCCCAGGCACATAGAGCCCTCGCGTGCGATCCTAGGTCACTGGGTCTCGGCAAGGTTTGCAGGAAGAGCCCCCAGAGCCTCCGCACGGAGCGAGAGGGCGGTCGAGAGTTCTCCTCAGCTTCTTATACGACCCTCGCGCATCCTTTTCGTTCGGAAGGAGGGGTTGTTTGCCAAGCCCTTCGTGTCTGCGAGCCCTAGGCCACTGGTCTCGGCAAGGTTGCGGGAAGAGCTCCCGAGCCTCCGCACGCGCGTAGCGAGGGCGATCGGGGAGTTCCCCTGCTTTTGTATGACCCTCGCGCATCCTTTTTCGTTCGGAAGGAGGGGTTGTTTGCTTTGAGCCCTTAGGTTAATGCGAGCCTAGGCACTGGGTCTCGGCAAGGTTGCGGAAGAGCCCCGAGCCTCCGCTGCGTAGCGAGAGGGCGATCAGGAGTTCCCCTGGCTTTTTATACGACCCTCGCGCGTCCTTTACGTTTGGAAGGAGGGGTTGTTTCCTAAGCCCTTCGTGTGCGAGCCTAGGCCGCTAGGTCTCGGCAAGGTTGCAGGAAGAGCCCCCGAGCCTCCACACGTAGCGAGAGGGCGATCAGGAGTTCCCTTGGCTTTTTGTACGACCCTCACGCATCCTTTTCGTTCGAAAGGAGGGGTGGTTTGCCGAGCCCTTCGTGTGCGAGCCTAGGCCGCTGGGTCTCGGCAAGGTTGCAGGAAGAGCCCCCGAGCCTCCGCACGTAGCGAGAGGGCGATCAGGAGTTCCCCTGGCTTTTGGTGCGACCCTCGCGCATCCTTTTCGTTTGGAAGGAGGGTGGAACATGCCAGCTACCCTCGTGGCGCAGCGGTGACATTTCCGGTGAGCTTTTATCGTAAGTCCGAGTGGAGGCCGTGCCCCCATTCGATAGGGGTCGACTAGTGGTCCGAGGCGTGCTCCAAAAAGTACCGAAGGCTTCTCTAGCGGGTGCCGGGGCCGTTCGATTGGCCCTAGGGGCTCGGTGCCTCCCTCACGGTGGGATCCCTTTAGAGAACTCCTGCTGGTCTCGGACACGACTTAGGGCATCCCAAGCAATCGCTTGCACTGGCCTCGGCCATGTAACGGGCTCGCCCATAGTTGTCCCCGACTCTGTTGTCCCAGGGCGGTGCCGAGGCCCTAGATGGCCCACCTTCATACCCCTGGATCGTAATAGGCTTGGTGCCCTTTTTTAAGTCGTGTTTTTCCCACCCTCGGGGTGTGAGAGGTTGCGGAAGAGCCCCCAGAGCCTCCGCACATAGCGAGCGAGGGGCGATCGGGAGTTCCCCGGCTTTTGTATGCGACCCTCACGCAACCTTTTCGCTCGGAAGGAGGGGTTGTTTGCCGAGCCCTTGGCGTGCGAGCCTAGTTTGGCGGTCTCGGCAAGGTTGCGGAAAGAGCCCCGAGCCTCCGCACGTAGCGAGAGGGTGATCGGGAGTTCCCTTGCTTTTGTATGACCCTCATGCATCCTTTTAAGCTCGGAAGGAGGGGTTGTTTGTTGAGCCCTTCGCGTGCGAGCCTAGTTCGGCTGGGTCTCGGCAAGGTTGCGGGAAGAGCCCCGAGCCTCCGCTTGACGTAGCGAGAGGGCGATCGGGAGTTCCCCCGGCTTTTGTGCGACCCTCGCACATCCTTTTCGCTTTCGAAAGGAGGGGTTGTTTGCCGAGCCCTTGGCGTGCGAGCCTAGGTTGCTGGGTCTCGGCAAGGTTGCGGGAAGAGCCCCCGAGCCTCCAGCGGAGCGAGAGGGCGATCGAGAGTTCCCCGGCTTTTTATGCGACCCTCGCGCATCCTTTTCGCTCGGGAAGGAGGGTGGAACATGCCGAGGCTACCCTCGGTGGCGCGGCGTGACATTTCCGGTGAGCTTTTATCGGGTAAGTCCGAGGAGGCCCGTGCCCCATTCGATAGGGGTCGGCTAGTGGTCCGAGACGCTCTCCAAAAAAGTACCGAGGAGGCCGAGTGTAGCGGGCAACGCCTCGGGCTTCCTCAAGTTGGTCGAGGCGTCCTCATGAAGCGGTCTGTTGCTTTGCTCGTTGTAGGCTGTAGTCTCGGGGGAGCCGTACTCCAAGTCGGTGGGGAGGATGGCCTCGGCCCCATAGACTAAGAAGAACGGTGTGAATCCCATGGCTCGGCTCATGTATTCCTCAGGCTCCAAATGACCGAGGGGAGTTCGGCAAGCCATTTCTTGCCAAACTTTTTCAACCGGTTGTAGATTCTTGGCTTGAGGCCTTGTAGGATCATGCTTGCTGGCACGTTCTACTTGGCCGTTTGTCCTAGGGTGTCCTCTGGCCGACCGGACCACACGGATGTGGTGGTTGTCGCAGCGTCGAAACTTGTGGCCGGTGAATTGCGTCCCGTTGTCGGTGATGATGGTATTTGGGATTCCGAACTTTGTGGATGATATCCGTAAAGAACAAACGACTTTGCTTGCTCGGATTTGATTTGGGTGATTGGACGAGCCTCGATCCATTTGGAGAATTTGTCGATGGCTACGGCGGATGGGTATAGCCGGGTGCCTTCTGCAGAGGCCCAACCATATCCAAATTTCCACGGCGAATGGCCATGTGATAGGGATGGTTTGGAGGGCTTGGGCCGGGAGGTGCGTCTGTCAAGCATAGTACTGGCATCCTTCGCAGGAGCGTACTAGCCCCGTGGCATCAGCCACCGCTGTTGGCCAGTACAAACCTTGGTGGAAGGCGTTTCCCACTAGCGCCCGAGGCGCCGCGTGGTGCCCGCAGGCTCCCGCATGCAAGTCTCGGAGTAGTGATTGGCCAGCCTCGG